GTGAGCACTGATTAAAGAGAACACACTGAATCAAGTCGTCATTATTTACGGTCCTATATGTCAAATACATTAAATTTTCAAGTTGTCCCAAAAAGCTGATTTTTTTTACTACCTGGGGAATACTTTTTGAATATGGAAGTCTACTTCACAAAGATGCAAAATTGTGAAGTAATCATCTGGGGCGAACTCTTCAAAAAACCAAACCGAGAAAGCAGCAGCTCTTCATGAAAACCCGAAGAAAAATATACTCTCCTCTTAGTCTGAGAAGTTAGGACAGCCTATTTGAAACAAAGAAGGCCCTTGCCAAGAAGCTAAAAATATTACAGAAATTTAAGTGAGATGAATCGGAGAGACTGTTTTTATTTGGTAAGAACAGAGGGACTTGTAACAGTTAACATCTTCTAGGGCCCGGCGCGATGGCACAGTGGTTAAGGTCCTCGCCTTGCACGCCCGGGATCCCATATGGGCGCCGGTTCTATCCCGGCAGCCCCGCTTCCCTTCCAGCTCCCTGCCTGTGGCCTGGGAAAGCAGTCCAGGACGGCCCAAAGCTTTGGGACCCTGCACCCGCGTGGGAGACCCGGAAGAGGCTCCTGGCTTCAGATCGGCATAGCATCGGCCGTTGCACTCACTTGGGGAGTGAATCATCAGACGGAAGATCTTCCTCTCTGTCTCTCCTCTCTGTATATCCGCCTTTCCAATAAAATATAATAAAAACAAATCTTTAAAAAAAAACAGTTAACATCTTCTAGTACTGATAATGCTGAGATGTTAGAGTGCTAACAGAACCTGGGGCTGTTACTTCCTCAGGAAACAGCATCCCAGTCCAGCTGCCACCGAACATGATTTTCAGAGAACAAATGCTAGAAATCCTTACTGACATATTAACAAGTAATATTATGTAATAAATGTTATGAACAAATGCTCATGAGCAGCTTTTTTTTTGGTTTTCTGAATGAGTGTTTTCCTGCATGAGTGTTTTCAAATTACAAGAAGGATCCTTCGACAGCACTGTGAAAACTCTTTGTAATGCCAAGTCTGTGCCTGTCCTGTGCATCTCCAAACCTAACTCAGTGTTCCCGCACAGGGAAGACAGCTATACTGACTCCAGTTTCTTTCATATTGCGTTACATCTTTCAAGAGAGACACTTATTAAAAGCAACTTATATCCTATTTCTTAGGCAAGCCAAGACAAATCCTGAAAAAACAATCCCTTTATATTTATAAACACAGTAGATTGCCAAAGCAACCCAGAGAATTACTAGACTAGGTGATTTCAAATTAGAATCTCTCTCTCTGTCTCTCTCTGTCTCTCTCTCTCTCTCTGTCTCTCTCTCTCTCACACACACACACACACGGGGAGGGAGTTGTGGTTGTGATGGTGTTAATTTGTGCACATGACCATAAGAACAAAGAAAGAGCTTTCGGGATATCGGCAAGAGCAATGTAAAGCCACCAAGGCTTTGCTATATGTGAGACCCTTATGCTGAGTTCACAGAACTGTGAAATTCTTTAAACTCCCTCCCATCTCCTATTTTTACAAGTAACTTCAAACAACTACCTAACAGCAACTTTTATGACATATGCACACCCAACATTCTTAGTGAATCTTGTGCACAGACAGCAACACAGGGTTTTTAAAGCAGCTTCACTTTAGCATGATAGTCTCACATTAGTAGCCGTAAGTAGTTCCTGCTTTTTACTTTATCCTACATAGTTGATAATTGCTCAAGACACCGTGAACATGCAATACACCTGATGTCAACTTTATTGACTTCTGTCAGACAACTAACAAAGAAGGGCTTCCACACTTTTCACACTTGAGAATCACTTGGAGTACTTGTAACAGCAGATTCTTGGGCCCCCTGCTACCATCTGTAAGTGACTTGGACACAGGCAGTCAGGAGACCAAAACTTTGGAACTCTGGTGTAGGAGTTCTTTAAGGCAAGCAACATTCCCAAAGCCAAAATGTTGGCAATGGAGCCCAACTTTCCCCCTATAATGCAAATAGAAATTATCATTTGTTACCAAGGAATGGTTGTTCACAGTATTAGAAATGTGAGGTAGCATCACGTGCCATCAGCTTAGTGTGATGCATAAAACTGAACAGCACAACAGGAAGGCAGCAAACAGCTACACAAGACTTGGTATGTACCAGTCTATCATAAAACATTCTTCAAAATACAAATCTTGCTTCCTTTTACGTAACTTAAAACATGGAATACAAGTAACTTTAATCTCAATGATATTCAAATCAATCCAGAACACTATTTACTGCCTTGGTAAACTCACCAGATTTTCTTGGACAGCTAAAAATATCATTTTGTGGGCTTTTCTTTGCCAACAGGAAAATCTGAACACTCATTAACACCTCAAACTTATCTTAACCCTACTTAACCTCCTTAAATCCTGCTTAACTCCAACCTGGCTGAATAACAGGAGGCTGCTGAGCTTTTCAACTTTTGGACCTCTAAAAACATTTAATAAAACTTGGAACTTACCAGTGCACATTCACAATATATTTGTCATTCCCTTCACAGTAACTGCACCCTCTGGAAGGCAACAAGTGATGGCTCACATAGCCGGCTTCCTGCCACCTACACGGGCAACTGGGGTGGAGTTCCTGGCTCTTTCTTGCTGTTATAGGCACCAGAGAAGTCAACCAGCAGATGACAGCCTCTCTGTCTCTCTGTCCCTTAAAATACTTATAGAAGTAAGCATTTTTTTTTAAGATTTATTTTTATTATTTTTTCATTGGAAAGGCAGATATACAGAGAGGAGAGACAGAGAGGAAGATCTTCCGTCCGATGATTCACTCCCCAAGTGAGCGCAACGGGCCGATACTATGCCGATCCGAAGCCAGGAGCCTCTTCCGGGTCTCCCACGCGGGTGCAGGTTCCCAAAGCTTTGGGCCGTCCTGGACTGCCTTCCCAGGCCACAGGCAGGGAGCTGGAAGGGAAGCGGGGCTGCCGGGATTAGAACCGGCGCCCATATGGGATCCCGGGCGTGCAAGGTGAGGACCTTTAACCACTTGCGCCACCGCGCCGGGCCCAGAAGTAAGCATTTTTAAGAGATAATTACCTTTAAACTGCACTCTTTGTTTTGATCCAATGATTTCCTTCTATTTTGACCAAAAATATTCTACAACTCCCCATCGCCAGGTGACTACCTTTTAAATTTCTTGGTCACCTCATTCAGAACCATCTTTAGAAGTCCTCTCTAGGATCTCCTTAAATACTAGTTCACCTGTATACACATATGAAACAAAGCCTACTGATTGCAAGAGTTCAGCGTAAGTAAGTCATCTGCTTTCTTCTCTCGCCTCTGCCCTCTGCCATGTCCTTGACCACAGCTGCTCAGCTTGACCACAGCTCCTCACGTCGGGGAGGAACACGCAGGGTGGATAAATGTAAAGCTCCAAGTCTTGGAAAAAATATTGTTATAACACTAACCATCGCTTGGTAAGAGAATTTAAGAATGAGGAAAGCTATTATCTGTGTTTTTCAGCAAGTTTCAGCTCAGATCAGTAAACAAGAGAGCAAAGTGTGAATGCATTTAATACATTCTTCACAATAATGAAAAGTTTATTACTATATTTTAGACTTGTATGTTTAGAACGATAAAAATATAAAAGGAACACAGCTTAAATTCATTTGATTGAAATGTACTTCGTACTATGATTTAATTGCTTATAGAAACAAAGTTTTTGAAAAGAACTAAAACACAATGAGGAGGAGGGGAAACACGCAGGGCATGGCCCATCGGCCCGACTGCTTCATCTTCCACCTGCAAGTGCCAGCAGCCCACCCGAGCAGTGATGTGTCCTGGCTGCTCCACTTCCTATCCAGCTCCCTGCTTGTGGCCTGGGGAACAGCTCTAGCCATCACGGCAACTTGGGCAGTGAACCAGTAAACAGAAGATCTGTTTGTCCTCAGTGTAAATATGTCTTTCCAATAACATTAAAATAGATAAATAAATACAAGCCTAACAGACTCAGAACTGAAGTACAACTAACAGTATCTCAGCAAGCAAAAATATCTATGGTCTACAGTCATGTTTTATGCTTCCTAAGTCAAAAATGACAAGAGGGGGACGAGCACCACGGCAAACTCAGTGAAGCCATCACAGGGGCACCAGCATCTCATATAAAAACCATTCAGGACCAGTTTGCCCCACTTTCAATCCAGCTCCCTGCTAATGCACCTGAATGATGGTCTAACACCTAACTTTACTGGCAAAACATTACAGACACTTCGAGCTGTAATTTCAAAACTTCAATCTCTTTTACATGACATTTTCTCTCACAAATAACTCTACTACTTGCTAACAATCCACACTTAATACTGCTATCAATCTTTTTTCCCTCTCCCATGTTTCAATCATATCCACCACTTTTTGCTCTGATTCTTTCAGATTTGTCACTTAAAACACAGCCACATTTTCCCCTGCACTGGTTCTTCTGCTGACAATTTTATCTTCTAATGTAAAAAAAATGTGGCTAATCACCAATTTAATAAATACAAAAAACGACGTCAATCGTTTATAACTACCTCAAATACATCAGTAAGAATTCAAGTCAAAGGACAAGCTTGGATAATATCCGTGAAAACATTCTGAGAAAATACTGTTAACTCAGCTTTTGAAGTGCTAGCTATGTGAACATGTAACTAAAGATTATGGATATACATTTCAAACTGATGACACTTGAAAGTTTCTGTATTCCTACAAAATACATGCAAAAAATCACACTTCATAATAAGTCATAAAATATCCTTGAACAGTGAGAACCAAACTGTTAAAGATATTCGCTTGTTCCTAACATATTTGAAAGAGTCAGAGAGTTAAACCATGCAGCAAAACATAGCTTTAAAATGGCAGTCCAGACATTAAGGAAACATACAAGGTTCAACAGTTTGGACTGGTACAAATTTCAAATGCATAAAAGATGATTTCCAGAATATTAAGATAATTTGAGGTCTATTTACTTTATAGAAGTACTCACCTGACTCTTGCAAGTATCTATATACCAAGAAGTTGACCTCATCACTGCTTATACTCATCTTTATTCCCACTTAAACCATGAGGTCACAACACAGGATATAACCCTAAAAACAAAACAAAGTTAATTAAGTATTTTATCATTAAAATAGCAAACAAAATGTAAACAATATTGTAAAAACCATTTGATTTTTATTAGATGAAATAAAATGAGGTTCAACATTGCCTGATAACAAACGCTGATAAGTAAAGTAACTGCAACCAAAACATGGCTGGTACTATTTTTCTGCAGAGCAACACACTAACAAAAACGAATAAGATTTTTTAAGGAGGACTGGAGTAATGTATTTAGTTATTACCATTATCACCAAACACAACAGAAAGTTACTTCCTTTTTCTTAAGTGTAAAAATAAACCTCAGAAATCAAGAGTATGATTTATTTAGGAATACTGATTAGACTTCGGGGAGGAAAAAAGAGCCACAGGTTGTGTACTCTGGCTCCGAGTAGCTGAAAGGCTTAAGTCTCTGCCTTCTCAACATACACAGGGGCCATCTGAGTCTCAAACACTCGAGGTATGTGTAAGATGGAAAGGCTGGAATTCAGAACTCAAAGTCTGATGGTACTCTTCTTGGACAAGCCTACATCGAACATTGAGGAGAGAAAGAAACCAGGACATAACACAAGTATATCTAATTATACCTATCTACCTCTTAGTGTGGAGACAATTTAAAGATGAGCAGACTTTCCCGTGAGCAAGTCACAGCAGGAACATTGTTAGGCTTTGCCAGCCTGTCACTATTCAACCACACCACCTACTACAAAAGCAACGTGTAGCATGTAAACAAATGAATGTAGTCAAGTTCCGATAAAACTCCATGGATGCTGATATAAACTGCATGGCATTACTGTCTGTCTCTCAAAATATCAGAATTCGTTTGAGTCCATCCCTTTTCCCTCTTCCCCACCCCCAAATACTTGAAGAAGTGATAGCTTCCTCTGCTGGTGAACCTTAGGTAAAGTGTGGCTGGTATGGCTAGATTTGATCCACACTCTGTAGGTATCTAACCTTGTGAACCCTCCGTGACTATCTTGCTAATGGCTTCAGAGACATAGGACAATAGGTAGAAGGAAGAAAGCCAACAGAGTTACAATGTTACCACTCACAGCTCATTGTTAAGAATCACTAATTCTGTTCACCTTTCAGTGGAATGTTTCATTTCCAGTTACTTGTATCACTTTAGAATCCTGAATCAGGACAAACCAATGCTGACTGCTTTAGTTTGTTAGGTAACAGCTGAAAAGGAAGCACTACAGTGGGGCCAGAATTAGTAATGACAATGTAACACTATTTTCCCTTTCTCCACCCCTCACCCCCCAGCATACTGGCGGTGCAAGTAGGCTAAGGATGGAAAGTGCAAGTGGCTCACAGGCTCCTCCAAGACACAAGGTCAGAGCAGCCAATCTTCTCAATTCTAAATGTCTAAAGTACATCTTTGCTCCTACTTGTGTAATCCTGTTTCCTATTACGTCAAAACTAAATAAAATCAAGCAAAGATACATTCTCATTTACTGAGCACCTGCCTTCTGTTGCATATGGGTTGAGTCTTACACACTTATTAATAATTATATGATTTACAGAATATATACTAATAATTATATAATTTTAAAATTCTTGTTTAGTGCTAGTTTCCTCATTTTTAATGTGACATAGATTTACAAGGGGCTCACACAAAAGGTGCATTATAAGAAAAGCATGGGTCTCAAAAATTCTGGGCCCCGTCATTGCTGAGGCCTGTGCAGTGGACAGCATGCCCACATGCACACAGGGGAGTCTGACAGCCAGTCACTCAGGACTTGACAGATGTCCAGTGCCTCGTCAGAGCACGGGGAACAGAACAGGCTGGAAAACTACCCTGCCCAAGCTTTACAGCAAGTGTCTGGGTGTGTGCATGCACTCAAGTGGTCTTCTAAGTCAAAAAACCTTGGAAAGATTTTCTCAACCCTGGTGCAACGAAGCCAACAATGTCTCCAAACTAGCAAAACTACTCAAGCAACACCCTCAAAACCTTATTTATTCCCCACACTGGAAGCTCTGAGGTGTCAAATGACAGTCCTCCAACCCCAGGTGTGGACAGCAAGGAGTAGCTCTCAGCTCTCTCCCTTTCCCCTCACCCCTGCTGCTGCAGACACAAGAGAAAAAAACAAACCAAGAAGAAGCAAAACCCTGATCTCACTCACCTTCCTCCACAGCTTGGTCCTCCCCACCCCAAAACAGAGGCCTATATGGGCATGCATCCCTCAACTATGCAAACAATACTAAAAATGAAATTAAAAAAAAAGTTCACGGAATCAAAAAAATTTTACATAAGATTATGCAAGTAAACTTTACATATTATGCAAATTATCAAAATAAATTTCTCTCCTCATTCCATTTTTCTATTAGCTTTTTGAAATACCTTTGTACTCAGAAATGTGAAACTGATAACTTTCACCCATGCTGGAAAAGCGTGGATGTGTATAAACAATACATTTTCAGCACTAACAGCTCCTATTGCCTATTTGAAGTCATTACACCTGTTGCTATGTCCTCACACAGGGCTATCATTGCACAGTTTACACGCATTGTGATATAAAAGGAAATATGATGAAATAAGCTGCCATTGTTCACAGAGTACCAGAATACTGACTGACAGCTGTGGACGCAGAATCACCAACAAAAATCACCATTTCTTGGGTTTGCTGCTGCCACCCGGCCTGACCATGGCGTTACCACACACATTGAGGCAAAACCATTTTTTTTAACAAAGTAGCTTTGACTTATAGCTACCAAGTGAAACTATCATTTAAAAAAAAAAAAAAAGGCCTGTAAAGAAAAGAAAAGGGGTCATCTAAGAATGGGAGGGATGCACAAAGCAAACAACCCTGTGGGGACAGTGGGGGAAGCGGACCTCAGAAGAAATCGGCCCGCCACTTATGCAGCTAGGCCTCTCGCATCCAGAACTGCAAGAAAACAATCCTACTGCTTCTTTGGTTATGCTAGCTCCAGCAAAGCTACAATCATCATCACAAACTGTTAAAATTATCTCATTAGTAATTTGATAACCTTTTAATTTATTGCCATTTACAAATGCCAGGAGCTGACTTTTTGTGAATTTGTCTCTGGTAACTTATTGTATGCTTCGGCAATTATCAAAAACGACAAAATAAACACGATATTCCCTTCTTTCTTCAATAAAAGACTCTCAGACACAAGACCCCCAATATTGTTCATCCTTAAATTTCCCAACTCACTAAAAATTAGTAATTAAAATCTTCATCAGGGCATGCAATATTGCTCTTATATGTACAAGACTACCACAGTGAAGGATGGCAGAGTGTAAGATGAGATTTAAATACTAGCAACACGGCTTAACATGTGTCTCTGTACATGAGACTAGATGAAACAATGTTTACTGGAATTACTTTATAAATATAAATGCAACATTAGGCTTTAAGTTAATTACATATATATTCACAAGAGGAAATGGTCACACTGTAATAGGGCCCACCCTAATGATTGTGCTTTAACTTGATTACATTCCCTGAGATTCTAAGTAAGCTCACATTTGCCATTACCATGGGATAGATCTTCAGGCTCTCGGGGTAGGAACACAATGCCATCCGGGAAGTCTTCAAATTAGCAAAACACAACCCCCCCCCCCCAACCAATCTACATACAGTAAAACTCAATGTTAGGTGAATTAATGCAGATTTCTAGGATAGAAAAAATCCACTCAGGTACACACGGCCTTTGCAGAGTTAAAGGTGTACCTCCCATTCTTACACATCTTCTCACTAGGCAGGCAGACTCCAGCATTACTATCCTACAAAGATTGTATTCAAAAACGAAAGACAAGCCACCTTTCCAGCTGGTTCCTTCTCACCCTGGCTGTCAGATTTCTGTTTCAAGGCACTCCTCTAGTCAATTCTTATTTTAAATCTTGGCAGTAAAACCCTTCAACATACCCATACTGCAACTGACATTCCCTCCACTACTTTTTTCATTAATATTTGTTTATTTTTATTGCAGAATCAGAAATACAGAGAGAAGAAGAGGGGAAGATCTTCTGTCTGCCGATTCACTCCTCAAGCAGCCGCAATGGCCAGAGCTTAAGTCTATCGGAAGCCAGGGGCCCCAAGCCCCTTCCAGGCCTCCCATGTAAGTGCAGGGTCCCAAGGGTTTGGGCTGTCCTTGACTGTTTTTACAGGCCACAAGCAGGGAGCTGGATGGGAAGCAGGGCGAGAGGAATTAGAACCGGCGCCCCTATGGGATCCCGGCACCTGCAAGGTGAGAATTTTAGCTACTAGGCTATCACGCCAGAGCCCCCGTTCACTACTCTTACAATCAAGTCAAGCACAACCATCACACTGTGAGGTCCCAATAATTTCCCAGAACAGTTTAAAAATATATATATATTTTTATTACAAAGTCAGATATACAAAGAGAAGGAGATATAGAGAGGAAGATCTTCCGTCCGAAGATTCACTCCCCAAGTGAGCACAACGGGCTGGTATTGTGCCGATCCAGTCCCAGGAGCCAGGAACTTCCTCCAGGTCTCCTACACAGGTGCAGGGTCCCAAAGCTTTGGGCCATCCTCGACTGCTTTCCCAGGCCACAAGCAGCGAGCTGGATGGGAAGTGGAGCTACCGGGACTAGAACCGGTAACCATATGGGATCCCAGTATGTTCAAAGCGAGGACTTTAGCCACTAGGCCATTGTGCTGGGCGCCCCCCAGAACAGCTTTAACACGGTACCAGAAACTAGGTAAATTAGAGTAAAAGCAATTTGTCTCCCAATAAGTCAGATAATCTGAAATCGAGATGTTGAAGAAAGCGCCTAGCTCCCTCTGAAGAAGTCAGCAGAAGGAAGGTTTCTGACTCCCTCTTCCAGCTTCCTGGGTGCAACACGCACATTGCTGTACCACAGCCTCTTAGACGAGGTGCTGGGAGAACTGGTATCCGCAGAAAGCTGTCTGCTTCACAGACGGCATCTTCCTGCGGTTATCCCATAGCACAAAGGATCAAGCAGCTCCCACCAAGGTCCACCTAAGGAGACAGAGTCCTCA